TCTCCTAACCAGCTCCTACTCCCACTGACTTTGAAAAGCTCTTTGAAATATTCTCCCTGTAGGAAAGGTGTTGGTATGAATGAGCAGAACTTCAGATGACATTGTAAAGTCTCTATATGCTGAACCCAACACCAACGCCCAAACACCGTTAAGCAATATTGTAGCTTTGGAGGTCTTAAAGTAGGAAAACTTGACTTTTGAGAAGGGAATTCAAATTGAAGGTTCAGTCAAGAGGCCCCGATACAGAGAATTCCATTATAGCCACCACTCCCCTCCCCAAATTTAAATCCTGAACAATGGGAATGGGTTTTGTGAACTAAATGTTTTATTTTCTCATTCCATGCTTTCCACACTCTTATGAACCAACCAGTCACCCTATCACAGAAATTATGTAAATCTCTGGGTGATGTGGGACATGGAAATGTCACAATTGTGCACTAGAGGGCGCTCTTCTGAGATTGGAGATAAAGACAATATCCGGGCAGAGTAGGTTTTACTTTGGATTTGGTTTGCTTTTGTGTTATGGTTCTGAAGGAGCAAAGAAATGCTGACCCCTGAGACTTGTTCTGGAGGTTGCCAGTGCTTTTACATTCAGAAAACATGGCATTTCTATTTCTTCTTTTTTTACATTTGGCACTTTCATTTTGAGCCTCCGAAACCTATAAACAGCAAAAACCAGCAAAAATTCCATGTTTTGCTCATCAAGAATTATAGTAATTTATTAAAAAGATTTAATTTTAGTCTCAAATGATTAAGAAAACTAAACCGGGGGTGATATTCTGCCTAGCTGTAATTTTAACATCCAGTAAATAATAATGTGTAGGTAATTTCAATCTAGGTACATAGTACTGTTTGATAATTACAGTAAAACCAAATAAGTTGTATCATTTAATATGATTTGCCAAATTATGAGTTACAGGCAAACTTGTGTGTACAGCTTATGCAAATTGTGGATTTATGTGGATTTTATACAACTAATACATAACAAATACAGTAAACAAGTACCTCATTTTCCACGTTTGTTTTTATAGAAGACACAGCACTGTACTGCACTGCATGGTACTTCATCACTGCAGCTGGTAAGTGTGCATGCGGCGATGGGTCAACACTTTGTTTCCCATGCTTGTTTCAAGTGGAACACTGGGCATTGCCGCATTTCAATTCAGCCGCTAAAGTATGGTAACACCTTTACGATATTATGAGTTGATTTGCAAAGGATTTATGATGCATTTGAGACCAATAAACTGTTACGATTTAGCCATTTCTCTAATGTATAAAATACGACTAATGCAAATAAATCTAAGCATTTTTTGTAGGAAACTGAATGAGACTTATACGATTTATAAAGAGATGATTTATGTGAGTTTTACTGTATATTGCTGAATTTATGTTTTACAACATAGGGTTTAATAGGACTGTAAAATATAACTGTGTATGGAAGGGGTAAGGGAAAAGGGAAAAGACAAGAAATTCCTGATTTTTATATATCAGGCTAAACTGGAATTTTTAGCAGATAATTTATTAATTTATTGTTTTGACAAAAAGTCATGCAGAATATATCACTGAAAACAGGAAAGAAGGTATACTATATTTGTGAAATTTGAAGTTTTAGTTCCAGTAAAAACTACAAAGCTAAGGATCACATTGCACATTGACTTTTCCAACCTCAAATTCAGATACCAGTTTTGGACTGAGTTCTATCAGATAGTTCACTGTAAACATAATGAACAGAAACAAGATGAATTATTGCAAATTAATTTCAAGCTCCTTTAAAGGAAAGAAAAATCATATATTGTATACTGTAAATTTACCACTACATATTACACTGGTTAAATCACGTTGAAACATGCCATCACATTATTTGTGCAAGATGTACAGCATTTGTGCTCCCTTTTTCCATTTCTAAGCAAAAAAAAGCAAAAAAAAGCTGCCAAAAGCTCCTTAATTAAGACAGTTTCTCTTCAAACTTCTTCAAAAGTTAAAATGGATTCATTTATTCCTCTCTCTCTCTCTCCCTCTTCCACACCATACATCTGTAACTTTAAATCCTTTTATAAAAAATTAGTGCTATTTTGATATGAAGAATTATAACAATTAGCCTCAGCATCTTGAGTTAGGCAGAAGAGGGGAAATCAGGGCCCCCTCTCCTGATGGTTAGGAAGTACCCCCTTTGTGCTTTTACATTCAGAAATTGTGACGTTTCTATTTTTTCAGGTTTTTTTTTTTACATTTGGCATTCTCATTTTGACCCTTCAGGTCTATGAACTGCAATTACTGGCAAATATTCCATGTTTTGCTCATTTAGAGTGACAGTAATCTTATTAGAATGGTGAGGATAGCAAATGGGCTCAGTTCTGATACTCCTCACCCCCATGGACAATAGCCTGACACGGTTTACACACAAACAATGACCATTTGAATTTGAACGTGACCAGTGTCTTAGTCATGGAAATGTAATAATAATAATTCTTGCATCATCACATCTTCGAGCCGTCTCAAAGCACTTCACAGAATATACTGTAAAGTGAATTCACTGTATATTTTGCGGGCGAAATGTAGTAGGAAAAACTCGTCAAGTACCTGAAGAAAGGAAATGAGAATCTGATGAAAACAAATGTGTGGGGGGGAGGGAGAGGGGTGGAGAAGGAGCCAACATTCAGATTTTCATCTGAGTCTTCAAGTTTGGGATTCCAGTTTTGAATATTAATCCTTATTAGTAAAGCAAAGAATTATAAAGTTAATGAGCATTTTCAACATCAGGTCACTCTTTATAATAAATACTGGGATAATGAAGTAACCATTAAAACTCTATCCATATTGCATTAATTGAATACATTGAGAGTCCACCAAAAGCCAGTGGGCAGCTGATATGTCTGACAGGAAAGCAAGCATTTCACAAACTGTCCAGCAGTGGGAGCTTCAGAGCAGACGGCACTCGTATTAAATGGCTTTTCAGCACTTACTTCACGTCACATAAGCCTCTCGAGAATGCATCTTCAAGTACATAAGCACAGCAGTAATAATTATGACAGTGATGTTTAATGGGAAAAGAACACAAAACAAATATAACTAGATGACTTGGAAAATTAATATTTGTACAGGAATAAGATAGAAAATGTTATTTCATGATGAGTATTAAGAGGGCAAGAGGCCCGTATAAGAAGATAGAAACTGGAGTAGGCCTTCAGTCTGTCCGACTTGTTTTGCCATTAAGTACATGAAGAAAAATAATCAAGAGATGGTAGATTATCCTTATGAGCCACATACCAATTTATACTGCTGGAAGCAATTAGGAGCAGGATGCCTCATTTTTACTTTATGATTCAAAACTTAATCGCGCAAGCTGAGTAAAGCACTGAACATAAGCAACTAAGTCCATTCACAGAGTTCTTGCTAATTGGTATTGAATTCAACGGACCTTAAATAACATTAAATAGCTTCCCTAAAAGTTTCTTGGACTGTGCAAGATCTTTTAGAGAACCATTTTTGATTGAAGGCTGAATCCAATCAAAATACCTTTACTTACAACTCAGTCTCAGCAACCAAGATTCCAGTATGAATTACCACAATGCTAACCTGATTTATACTTTCTTTTGGTAATGATTATGTGTAAATTTTGTGTTGAATCAATGGCAAAACACAGATTAAACATTACAGGATAATTTTTCCCTAGTGATTGATATTGAGTGCAGTAAAGTGTTAGATAAGAGCCTTGCACATTATCGACAGGATAAAAGATTAGATGGCTTTATTGTAGTTAAGAGGAATTATTGAACTACTTTGTTTTAAGGTAATTATATATTTTATTCCAGCTGCTCGGTTTATAAACTGACACATAAATGAAATTTAAACAAATCATTTAATGACCTAGCATTTGGTTTAAAAAATATTTCAGGAAAAGTGCTGAACAGAATTTAAAATGCGCGAAAATATTCAATCTGAACCATTTCACTTGGACAAACACGTCAGATACAAAAAGTGAACCGTATTATCAGAGTCAAAATCAATCCAGAATTCTCCATTATAATCAAAGTAAATCATTCACCTTGGCATATTCACAATCAACTGATATTCAATGAAAAGTAAAACACAAAGTCGAGGTTGTTGATTTATACAAAATACTCTCGTCTTTTTTTAGAAGAAAATACAGTAAGTCTGTACAGAACTTGTTTTAAAGGTTTCAGTAAATACATAAAATTTAGTATTATTAGCCCAAGGCCTTTCAAGTCAGATTTCTCTGTGAGACTGCCCCACTCTTATTCACTAATATATAATAATGAATAACCCTGGAATTTGATATAGCGCTTTTCATGTCTTCTAGACGTCTCAAAGCGCTTCACAAAATATACTGTAAAGTGAATTGACTGTATATTTGTGGGCAAAAAGTGGGGTATCCCAGTTAATAGGGAGTGAATCTACAGGACACAGCAGCGGACAGTGCCAAACCATCATAGGAGTTACTTGAGAGCTGTGATTCCCAGGGAAAACTGCTATAGGATAGGTACGCTACATCTTTAGTCTGTAGCATGACTTCCTGAGATACTCACCTTGAAAATCAGCAAAAGGAAAACACGCAAGCATTCATAGTTGTTTCTCGTACAGATGATATCCATTTTTGTACTTGCCATTGGTTTCTGACAGGTAGGCAGTTAACACATCCATAGAAATGAAAGGCATCCTGCTCAGATTCCACACTGAGGAATCCCTACTGAGCCATCTCAGGGTGACACCACATCTCGCAATGAAGGATGTAATATTTCATTTCTGATGTTCTAAAACATTATGATAAATCACTGTTCATTAAAAGAAGTTATTAATATGTATTATGCAAATCAGCCTACAATTATAGATTTATGTCTGTAAAGTGGTGGTAACATCACTCAAACAGTGCTGTGAGTGTTGCAAGCAATATTCAAAGTAAATATTGACGTGATGGAATAGGCCACCCTATGCTTTGCTATTGTTGAATTGCAGTTAAGTTTTGCCAGTGATTCACTTACCTCCAGGGTCGTGTATACAGTGCTAATTGCGAGCTTTGTTTCTCCTTCTGACAGCTCTTTAAAATCCTTCAGCAAAATCTGTTCAGTACTTAAACCTACAATAGAAACAAAACTTTTAATATTTCCCCCAAAATATGTAGGGGTGATTGTTTCTTTCTGACTTGGATAGTATTTCAATGTTATTAAAAAGTTATTAAATAGTTTTAATGTTATTAAAACATGCACAATCACACAAACCAATCTGTACAAAATTCTTTATCCAGATTACTGAAACTATTGGTTACTTAGCAATCTACTACACCGTGAAAACACACAGGCCATTGAGCTTCAGTAAGCAAAGTCTCTTTGGATGCAGAAAGCAATGTAAATTACAGGAATACAATGTACCCAGCCAGATAGCTAGTACTGATTGTGAATAACCCCAATGTGAGTATGAAAAGTGTACTTTTGACCCCTCACCATCTCTGTTATTGTATCTGTCTCTCTTTAAGTATGCTTGAAAATAATTATCCGTATGTGCATGAATGCAACTATTTTTCCCCCAAACCCCAAAGTCTTAAATTTAAATAAAGCTAACTTTGTGGGTATGAGGGAAGAATTAGCTAAAATAGACTGGGGAATTAGATTAATGGATATGACAATAGACCAACAATGGCAAACGTTTAAAGATGTAGTGCATAATTCTCAGCGGTCACATAGTCCCTTGAGGAATAAGAGTACCACAGGGAAAGCAGTTCATCTGTGGCTAACTAGAGCAGTTAGAGAAAGTATAAAACTAAAAAAAAGGCCTATAAAACTGCCAAAAAAAGTAGCAAACCTGAGGACTGGGAGTGTTTTAGGGACCAATAAAGGAAAACCAAAAAGCTCATTAAGAGTGAGAAAATGGATTATGAGGGCAAACTAGCCAGGAACATTAAGACAGATTGTAAGAGTTTTTATAAATACATTAAGAGAAATAGGCGAGCAAAAGTAAATGTGGGTCCATTACAGGCAGAGACAGGAGGAATTATAATGAGGGATAAAGATATGGCAGAGTCCCTAAATAAATACTTTGCTTCTGTCTTCACGTTAGAAGACACAAGAAGTTTACCAGAAATAGAGATAAGCCAAGGGGATAAGCCAAGATAGAGATAAGCCAAGATAGGGAGCAACTTAGGGAAATTTACATTAGCAAAGAATTGGTGCTAGGGAAATTGTTGGCATTAAAAAGTGACAAATTCCCTGGACCTGACAGTTTGCATCCTAGGGTTTTAAAAGAGGTAGCTCATGAGATAGTGGAGGCCTTGTGTCTAATCTTCCAAAATTCTTTGGATTCTGGAACGGTTCCCACTGATTGGAAGTTCGCAAACGTCACTCCACTGTTTCAGAAGGGTGGGAGAGAAAAGATGGGGAACTATAGACCAGTTAGTCTGACATCGGTGGTAGGGAAAATTCTAGAAGCCTTGATTAAGGATGTCGTAGTGGGATACTTAGAGGATCACAATATGATTAGACAGAGTCAACATGGCTTTACAAAAGGGAAGTCATAATAATAATAATAATCCTTGCATTTGATATAGCGCTTTTCATGTCAGGAGGACATCCCAAAGCGCTTCACAGAACATACTGTAAAGTGAATTGACTGTATATTTGTGGGCGAACGCGGCAGCCAATTGCGCACAGCAATGTCCCACAAACAGTCGTAGATTGAAAATGACCAATTTATTATTGTTTGGTTTTGGAGGGATTATTATTAGGCGTGTGGAGTAAGGAAACTTGCCCAAGGTTTCGCCCTGCCTGGAATTGAACTCAGGTCTCTCACTTGCAAAGCGAGTGCTCTAACCGCTGAGCTACAGTGGTGTGACGTCATGCTTAACAAATCTTTTAGATTTTTTTGAGGACATATCAAGTAGATTAGATAGCTGGGCATCAGTGGATGTAGTGTATTCAGATTTCCAAAAGGCATTCGATAAGGTGCTACATAAAAGGTTAATCCACAAGATTAGGGGCCATGGAATTAAGGAGAATATATTAGCATGGATTGAAGAATGGCTAACAGGAAGAAAACAAAGAGTAGCGATAAACGGGTCCTTCTCAGATTTGCGGGATGTGACTAGTGGAGTGCCACAAGGATCAGTCCTTGGGCCTCAACTATTCACAATCTACATCAACGATCTAGATGAGGACATCGAACTTAATATATCCAAATTCGCGGATGACACTAAACTAGGAGGGAGAGTAAACACCGAGGATGACATTAAAAAAATGCAATAGGATATGGATAGGCTAGGTGAGTGGGCAAATAGGTGAAAGATGAAGTATAATGTAGAGAAATGTGAAGTCATCCACCTAGGATTCAGTACAGTAGAGCAGATTATTTTTTAGAAGGGGAGAGACTAGATAGTGTTAGCGTTCAGAGGGACTTGGGTATCCTTGTACACTAGTCACAAAAAGCTAGTTTGCAGGTACAGCAAGCAATTAGGAAGGCTAATGGTATGTTGGCATTTGTTACAAAAGGGTTAGAATATAAGAGTAGGTAAGTCTTGCTGCAACTGTGTAGGGCCCTGGTGAGACAGCACCTAGAGTATTGTGTGCAGTTTTGGTCTCCTTATTTAAGAAAGGATGTACTCGCCTTGGAGGGGGTACAACGTAGATTCACTAGGTTGTACCTGGGATGAGGCGGATGAGTTATGAGGATAGGTTGAGCAATTTAGGCCTATATTCTCTAGAATTTAGAATAGAAACCTATAAGATTATTAAGGGGCATGACAGAATAGATAGTGGGAGACGTTTTCCCCTGGTTGGAGAAACTATAACCAGGGTTCACAGTCTTAAAATTAGGGGTAAGCCCTTTCACACTGAGTTGAGAAAAAACATCTTCACTCAGAGGATAGTGAATTTATGGAATTCTCTACCCCAAAGGGCTGTAGATGCTCAGTCCTTGAACATATTCAAGACTGAGATTGATAGATTTCTTGTGGATAAAGGGATTAAGGGATATGGGGATAAGGTGGGTAGGTGGAGTTAGAATAGATCAGCCATGATCTTATTGAATGGCGGGGCAGGCTCGAGGGGCTGAATGACCTACTCCTGCTCCTAATTCTTATGCTCTTATCTTCTAAGTTCTAAAACATCACAGCCCTACTTCACTTCTGCATCCAATTTTGATGCAGATAGAGACAATTCAGTGCCCAGTTAATCAGCATTCTACTATTTATGTAATCAGCTCTCACGCACAAAAATAAGAGTAAATTAAGTACCAGTGACATCAAATTTTGCTTGTTGCAGAGCATCAAAAACCTCTTTCTGTGGCGGGAGATCAGGAAATCTCTCTTCCAGAGCAGCTACAATTTCTTCATCTTTTGAAGTCACTTTTCCAGTTTCCGGAGTCATATTCACACTATCTAGGAGTATTGTTCCTAACAAAATACATGTCATAATGTTTTTAAGCTAATTTAAGGAAGGTTTTTTTCAAAAATGTATTTTGATGAACTCTTTGTGAACAAGAAATATAGGTCCTTAAATTTTTGAGCCATCAACTATGAATTGTTTCTTGATGAAATGTGACAGAATGACATGACAATCATTACATTTTTCAATGCTAGGATTGCCGCTTATCAAATGCACATCAACTGAAGGAAGCATTGTGACAGTTGTAATCCCAATGACATCTACTGTCAGCATAACAATGCGTTCCAAACCGAATAAAAACATTATTTTAAAAAATAAACTGATACTTGGGAGAATTTTACAGGAAAGGGAGGAACGTATGTTGTACAGATAACAGCTAAACATCATCTGATTGTTTTCTGCTAGACTATGAGACTATCTCAACGCTTGATCAAATTAATGTGTTATAAGATGAATTATCTGTTTATTCCAATGCTGCCCTGCATCCTTGCATCCAAGTTGATTTGAATACAAACCATTGCTAAATCAGGGTCCATAACTTATTTTAAAAGACAAGAAAAAAAGATGGTGTGTGAAAAGGGAAATATTAAAAGTTGTGGGGAGCAAACAGGGGAGTGGGTGTTCATATGGGGGAAAAAACCTGATGGGCTGAATGGACTGTTTCTGCACTGTAAGACTATGATTCTAGGATCATATCATGACAGTGCTCTGTATGAGAGAACTCTGTGATTTTGTAGGGCTAATAAATGTGCCTGAAGTATAAATGATAACTTTCTGCACAACCTTAATCTATTGGAACAGGAATATACAGATCGGCCAGTCAAACTCATTGTGCTGTATTATTAGATCATAGCTGAACTTTTAACCCCATTTTCCATCTTTTTCACATATTCCTTAATACCCTTCCTTGCCAAATATCTATCTCCCTCCCTTTAAAACATCGTTATCAATTTTGTATCTGTGGTGTTCTGGAACAGTGCATTTGACATTCTCACAGCTCTTGCTGTGGGAAAAAAAATGTCTCTGATTCCATTCTTTAATGCAAGATGAAAGCTCTTACCTCTGAATAGATGTGCAAGCTGTTTGTTAAGCAACTCTGGTGCATGTTGAAGAATCTCTGAAACTATCAGCGTGACACATGATCCTACTGGCTCCTGGACCACTTCACAATGTACAGATTGCAGTCGATCTTGCTCATTGTGGTCAATTATTTTGATAACGGCTGTTTCAAGTTCATTGTCAGGACTAAAAGACAACAGAAGGCATAACTGCAACTTCATATCCATTGTTCTTACAATAATAGTGATGATAATACAGGTTCCTGCATTTATATAAAATAAAAGATCTCAAAGAGCAAAACCAAAATAAAATTACAAATAAAAACAGAAGTGGCTGAAAACACACAGCAGGTCAGGTGGTATATTTGTCCACTGGCACAGATCCCACCCCTCTAAAAACAGCAGTCATCACTCCTACCCTTAAAAATCCCTCCTTAAAAATCCCTCCCTGCTCTCAAATTACTGCCCTATTTCCAACCTCCCTTTCCTTTCCAAGGTTCTGGAACAAGTTCCTCAAGGCTCTGTCCTTGGTCCCATCCTCTTCAATATCTATATGCTCCTTCTTGGTGACATCATCCATAGACATGGGGTCAATTTCCACATGTATTGCAGGTGACACCCAACTATACCTCTCTGTCGCCAACCTTAACTCTAGGACCACTGCTCCACATCCCCTGCCTGGCCCACTCCACCATCAATGGTCGAGCTTTCAGCCTTTCTGCCCCCAACCTTTGGAACGCCATCCGACATTCCCTTTGCCTCGCTCCCTCCCTTGTTTCCTTCAAGATGCATCTCAAAACCCTCCTCTTCGACCGAGCCTTCAGCTACCCTCCTACCTTCCCTGCCTTCCTCCCTTCCCAATTCCCGACCCCCAGCTCGGGTCCAAATTCTTGACTATCCAGCACTTTGGGTTGTCCTACCGACGTGAAAGGTGCTATACAAATACAATTTTGCATTGTATCTATGGAGAGAGGAACATAGGAACAGGAGAGGCCATTCAGCGCTTTGAGCCTGTTCTGCCATTTAATTAGATCATGGCTGATCTGTACCTCAACTAATCCCTTCAATTCCAATTTCCCACTTTCTCCCCATATCCCTTAATACCCTGATCAACCAAAAATCAATCTTGGATCCAGCATCCAAAGCCTTTTGTGATTAAGATTTCTACCATCCTATGAGCGAAAAAATGATTCCTGATTTCACTCTTAAATGGCCTGGTTCCAATTTTAAAACTGCCCCCTTGTTTCAGATTCTCCCACCAGAGGAAATAGCTTCTCTGTATCTACCCTATCAAATCACTTTATCATCTTAAGTACTTTAAATAATAGGAAAGCGAGTTAAAGTTTCAGGTCAATGACCTTTCGTCAGAACCAAAATAAAATTGATTAGAAAAGAAGTGAATGTTGTTACACAGGCAAACATGACAACTAATGCACCAGCAATGTCCTATGAGTTCAGCCAATTAATTTGCAACTAAGGTTAATTTGGATGAGAAGACAATATAAACCAAGATAACAAGGACAAAAACAAATATGTTTCCTCCAAACAGTGATCGGGCGGATACCAATAGCAACCACACTAGAAAAACACTTCAAAACGTAAAGTTCATTAAATATTTAGTTCCAACTCAAGTTTCTTTGTTTTTCTTTCTATCCACATTCATGTGACACATCAAATCTCTCCTCCAAACTAACGTAACCAACAGCCTGGTTGGGAGCCAGAAAAAAGCTCAAATGATTGACAGAAATCATCGAGAGATGGTCAAGATTGAATTCAGGGTTCCACAGATTCCAATGTTCCAATAGTAATAGGTCATCTTTTACGCAGAGGTTTGCAGTTGAATTCAGATATCAACAGTGACCCTTAAAGTGTGGATCCTATGAAACCAAAATGCAGGCATGAATCCAAACAGTGGACCTTATTCAAAGTGTTTCAATATAAGAGGTAGTCTCCGAATGCAATATTTAAATATCATGGTTATAAATCAATCAACAATAAATAACATCCCTCAGAAGTCTGCAGTTCAGGTCAATTATCTATATTTCCCCAAATCATAGAATTAACTCTTGTTGATCTGATTTATAGCTGTATCATAAGGCATAAAATGCAGAGTAGTTAAATATTAAAGAGAACCATTATTCATACAATACAGATTATGGGGTACTTCAACATTGGACTGTAAATGCCTGTAATACTTGTAACTCCACTTGTAGACACAGATATGAAGCATTCATTTTTAGTCAATATTAGAAGATCCAAGAAAGATTATGGGCAGAATTTTGTTTGGTGAACAAGAATCTATGAAAACACATGGAACGGTAGGTCAGTTACATATACTTGATTCAAAAGAAGTTTCAGAATGTCACAGGTTATAATTTTGCTGTATACATAACTTCATTCCACGATATATCCCGTTACAGTACTTTGGAGTTAAAATATGCAACTAAATACCTGGCCAGCATATTGTGGTCAACCAGTGTAACACTCAGCCTCCCTTCCCTGTTCAGCAGATGGAGATCTATTTCATCTCTGAAGATTAAACAAGAGTCTGTGATATTCAGCTGCTGCATGACAAACACAACTTCAGTCCGGAGAGGGAATTCTGATCGATCTATGTTCAGAACTGGTACATACAGGTCATTATTTGGATGTGTCTATAAAACAAAAATATTTTCTTTTAGTTGCAAATAAATATTTAAAAGTCTGATACTACAACTGCTAGTTAAATGCTAAAATGGTAGCTCTTTTGGTTAGAAATTCTAAATGTATTTTTCAAAACATAAAATTAAAACAAAGCATCACAGAGATTAACATATTTTAAACTTACTTCCAAAATTGAATTTAGCTGCATATACACTGCATGATCATAGAGGTGATGTGATGCATTGTCACAGAAAGCAGAATCAATTGAAATGTTTAAAACAGATATTGATAAATACTCTGGAAATATGGAAGGGTGGCAGAGAGAGAGCTTTCGTCTCTGTCAGTCTGAGGTAGAATTGATCTACACAGAATTGATCTTAGAACAATTGATTAGAAAGGTCAGCATATTAGCTAAATCCTTGCATGGTACCATTTTTGCAGTAGACAACTTTATGTGGAAAGATTAGGTACAAAAGGTGCCCATGTGTTAAGAGTTAGTTTTTTCCCTTCAATAACCATTCTGTTCTTGAGATGGAGGCCAGCAAAGATAAAAGCATGACCTAGGATGCTTTTCCCTCCCAGTTAACATCCACTTGAAACCCTCCCAATGATAGAATGACCTCTACGACTAAATTGGAGTGGATGATTGTCACTAGCTAGCAACATCTGATACTTTAGCTGCAATACGCATATTCATCTAGCACCACATCATCATTCAATACACAGTCTTTGCATCTGTTTGTAGTATGTTAAAATAGCACATTATTATGCATGCATACAATTTTGATAAGAGCTTTTTAACATGGAAAATCTGCATACAATGTTACATTTCAATGTTACATTTCTTTTGATTTGTAGCATAGAAGTACCTTATAAAGGAAGTAGGCATAGGCTAAGGCTGAAACCGTGGAGTCCAGACCACACACTTTGTTTCCAAGTATGGCATGAACTCTGGGAAGATCATCTCCACTCATCTAGGAAAGAAGGATTGCAAGGTCAACTGATGACACTTTGTCCAGTGTTTGCATTCTTACATTTAGAGACCAATTATTAAGCATTATGGCAACATAACCTTAATTGATTCCAACAATAATAAATAAACCCTTGCAATTAATGTCGTCTTCTCATGTCAAAATGTCTCAAACCGCTTTGCTGGAGGATTCCATAAAGTCTAATAACTGTGTATTCATAGGCAATTGTGATAGATAAGTTGCACATAATAACAATCAAACAGCTATGAAGTGTATGACCAATTGTTTAGGACCTCAATAGGTTTAACATCTCGTTCAAAGCACAGCACCTCCAACAATGTGGCTTTCCCCACTGCCAATGGGGAGCATCTGCATGTCTCGGTTGAAAAGAACACCATTACATCTACATAGGCAGTGACTAGCAGCAGCAGCAGAGACAAAAGCAGATATTAACAAATACCAGGCCCTCGAAAACTGCAGGAAATTATCAAATACAGACATGTATTTACTGGCGAACATCAAAGCATAAGGTTACAAATCAATGACATACCTCAAACCACAAAGTTACAATCCATTATTAACTTTCAATTGGTCTGCAATCATGAAGAGAAAATGGGGCACTTTATTCACAGCACCCAAGAAGAAACCATTCATACTGAGGCCACCACAGCTTTACAAATCTAAAGCATTTCGGGCTACTTGGGAATATGATCTCTATTATTGCTTATAACACACCCACAGAAACACTGAACCAAGGACAAAACTAACTAAACTAGCCCACGTGAATCAAAATTATCATAGAAAACTTCTTGCAAAGTTCTTAAATAATGATTCATAAGCTCAAATTTCTCAAAGTTCTTAGGCTTAAGGCCATTGTTTTAAAAATAAGACCACAGGGAATTTTGGAAAGCAGTCTAAACTGGAAGCAAATTTTCCTTACTACTCAAAAATAATTTAGAACAATTTAATGATCTTTGAAAATTCCTGACAGTCTTAAAGTTTAGGACAATGATCTTAAGCTTGAAAAAATAGGAAATTTCGGGTGCAAGATGTTCAGAACATAAAACATGCCCCAGTTAGGTATCAAATAGTGACCACGTTCTGCTGCATTTCAAATAATGTAGCGCTGGCCAGATCCATCCACATTGCTGAGGAGCATCTGTATTAAGGGAAAAATAGTATGAACAGCTACCAGTAGGAGGAGACCAGCATTTAGCCACAGAGACACTGTGCCAGGATCTCACTATTTCCATTAAACTATGTAATCAGCCACTTTTCACTTAGACATAGTGTATAAGCCTTGGAATCTTGGAACTTTCAATTTCATATTCCATACAATATGCATATATTGCTTTATTTACTCGACTCTTCATTAACAATATTGTTAATAAAAATCATTTTATTAAATTGTGTACCAATAATAGTACAGGTGGTTAAAATTATATACTCCTTTATGTAATCCACTTCGATATTAAATGTCCAGAGACATTACCACAATATAAATGCAAGTTGTAGTTGATGTTGATATGTCTCATGAAGTTTTTCTGGTGGTTATGCAGGTGATCTAGTTTAAGGAGAAGGACTGGTGGATGTTCAATAGCACTACAGGCAATACAAAAGAAGGCCAGCTACTTGCATCTGTTATTCCCGATTACTGGCTTGCACCTTTGCAAGAGCTCTCTGATCTGACTGAGTCCAGATCATGCACTGTGGGCTCAGTAACCAGTCACTCCTGAAGGGTTATGTGATGGCACAGAACTGATACTTTTGAATATCAGCTGGCAGTACATCAAATAGAGAAGGCAAAAAAATCCCAATGAAAACCAAAAAAAAAGCCAAACAGGGTGGGGGAGAGGGTGTAGTCATTCTGGAGAATTCCGAGAGTTGAAGAATTAGAATCTAGTGGCATGTCTCTGCACTTTCTTCCATGCCTCCATTACCCAGGTATGACACCTGCAACTGGACACAGTACTTAATGTGGAGACACCAGAGCACAGTTTAGTATCTGAATAAACCCCTCTAATTTGCAGTCTAATATCTGTGCTATGTATCATAGCATTCAGTTGGACCTAGAATCACCACATCACACTGTTTGAGACTTCAGGATTGATCAATGTTCACTTGCAAATCTTTTTCTTGGCCAGCCAACCACATAAAGGGTAGTCAAACTGAGGATTGTGGTGACAAAGTGCATTACAAAACACTCCCACACATAAAAAGGGCATCCTCTCACTTCATGGTCATTTGGACATTATGTTCAGTTCAATCTGCAATGGTTTATCCCTAGATCCTACATTGGTATTGACTGTAGTATTATTAGCAAAGAAGACTAGAGTGATTGAAGCACTCTGAGACTCTATCCTGAATGAAGGCCACCATATAAATGCATATTATCATTGTTGTTGGTGTTGTTGTAGAGTACTGTTTACGCTTACAAAATGCTGTTGGTAAATATGACACACATTTGAAAGATAGCACCATGTATCAGAAAGGTGCCAACTGCCAATACACCTTCTCACTTATAATGAATGGTGGCTGGTGACATGTAACTGCTTGATAAAATCCAAATACACTATTGACCTCAAAGCATCCCTAAAGTCTACATATCGGTTCTCCTTAATTGAGATGCTCGATGTTCTGGGCACTTGCTCTGTACCAGTTTTCTCCATCACTACTATCCCTTGTTCATCAGTGCCTAATACTGCACCTTTTGCTTCCACAAGTGTATTTTCAGACTAAACTAAACTCTACATTCTTGATATCCTTTCAGCAAGATTAGTGCATATTACATGACCCAACACAGCTTCCAAAGGGACCGGTGTGACTTTGTACCAATTCTTCACAAGGTGTACTTTTGGCACTATGTATTGCCAGGATCCCATTTGCTTTGCACTCAGTAATGGCCAAGTAACATAAAACAATCATTCTGCTGAATGCTTCACAAGTGACCTGGGAAACAGGCCAATGCACTTTGCTTTACTTGAGCAATTTAGCTGTTTCCTGTGTTGGCTGTTGAACGGCTGATGATTTTAAATTAAACTAACCTGCATGGTAAAAAAAAAATTTCAAACGTTGAAATAAATAAATGTACAGCATAGAGTCAAATTATTTCTAAACTCAGTTTACAAATTATGCCAACCAGGGACTTTCCTACTATTGTTTACCTAGTTAGAACATATACTCATTTTTTGGATTATTCATACGGTATAACAGTATAATCAGTATAAACATAAACTGAAGAATACCAATTTGATTATTTAAAAGATTCCCAATTTCAAATGCAAGTTTTTAAGCAAATACAGATTATTTGGTTCAATCTTAAAAGGGGTGAAGGAACAGAGAGACCTGAGGTTCATATAAGTAAATCTTTGAAGGTGGCAGGACAGGTAGATAAACCTGTTAAAAAAGATTACGGGATACTAGGCTTTATAAATAGGGACATAGAATACAAAAATCAAGAAATTATGATAAATCTTTATAAAACACTGGTTAGGCCTCAGCTAGAGACTGTGTTCAGTTCTGGGCACCACACTTTAGGAAGGATGTCAAGGCATTGGGGAGGATGCAAAGGAGATTTACCAGGATGGTACCAGGAATGAGGGACTTCAGTTATCAGGGGAGGTTAGAGAAGCTAAGATTATTCTCCTTGGAGCAGAGAAGGTTAAGAGGAGATTTAATAGAAGTTTTCAAAATTGTGAGGGGATTCAATATAATAATAATATTAATAATAATCCTTGCATTTGATATAGCGCTTTTCACGTCAGGAGGACGTCCCAAAGCGCTTCACAGAACACACTGTAAAGTGAATTGACTGTATATTTGTGGGCGAACGCGGCAGCCAATTGCGCACAGCAATGTCCACAAACAGTCGTAGATTGAAAATCACCAATTTAATTATTGTTTTTGTTTTTTGGAGGGATTATTATTAGGAGTGTGGAGTAAGGAAACTTGCCCAAGGTTTCGCCCTGCCTGGGATTGAACTCAGGTCTCTCACTTGCAAAGCGAGTGCTCTAACCACTGAGCTACAGGACTCCACAATAGGGTGAACAAGGAGAAATTATTTTCACTGGCAGGTGGATCGGTAATCCGAGGACACTGATTTAAAATAATTGTTAAAAGTAACAGAGGGGAGGTGAAGAGAAATTTTTTCACACAGCGAGTTGTTCCAATCTGGAATGTATTGCCTGAAAGGGTGTTGGAAGCTGATTCGATAACAGGTTTTAAGAGAGAAGTCGATAATTATTTGGGGAGGACATGTTTGCAGGGTTATGGGGAGAGAGTGGGGAAGTGGGATTGATTTGGATGCTCTTTTCAAAGAGCTGGCACAGACACGATGGGCCGAATGGCTTCCTTCTGTGCTGTACAATTCTATGATTCTATCATTTCATATGAAACAATTTCTGCATATGATTTGAGTGGGGAGGTGGTGGAGAGGGGTAGAAATTGTTGGTTGAGTGGGGGCTTAGGCTGGAGAAAATTTAGTACTGGGTCTACTTTCCAACTTTTTAGATGTCCCTCAAAAAGAGCAGCAATCAATTTGATTAAAAAACGCAAGCAATTTTGATGCACATAATTTTTAAAAATAAACATAGCTTAATTGGTTTAAACAAGTTTATCATCCACATCACTTTTCCTGATCATAAATGTCACTCTTTACTTCTCCTTCATGTTGAGGTTTTGTATTTTAATCTTAGGCTGACATTCCAGTTCAGAATTGGGGAAGAGTTTAATTGTTGGAGGTGCCATCCTTTAGTTGAGACATTATGCCTTTTGTGGTGGTTCAGGTGGAACCTCTACAAATTATCTAACCTGTTTGTATGAGTCTAAACAACTGAGTGTTGGCAGGTCAAACACAGATGAGCCCAATCCTTTTCTTAACACGAACATTCAACCCATATCTAGCCTATAAGACCATTCATCTTAAAAATTTGGTACCACATTTTTGTGGGAAATTCTTGAAATTAATCTCAATTTGGAAGTCAGTTTTCCACAATTCTCAAAAA